ACTGATTTATTTTGTCATTTCAGGAACTAACTTCTCTACCAACTTTCACCACCCAAAACTGCCCCCTTTCACTACACGGAATATGGCTGATTTATTTTGTCATTTCAGGAACTAACTTCTCTACCAAGTTAATTTCACCACCCAAAACTGTACCCCTTTCTCCACACGGAATATGGCTGATTTATTTTGTAATTTCAGGAACTAACTTCTCTACCAAGTGTCACCACCCAAAACCCAAAACTGTACCCCTATCTCCACACGGAATATGACTGATTTATTTTGTCATTTCAGGAACTAACTTCTCTACCAAGTGTCACCACCCAAAACTGTCCCCCTTTCTCCACACGGAATATGGCTGATTTATTTTGTAATTTCAGGAACTAACTTCTCTACCAACTTTCACCACCCAAAAGTGTTCCCCTTTCACTACACGGAATATGGCTGATTTATTTTGTCATTTCAGGAACTAACTTCTCTACCAACTTTCACCACCCAAAACTGCCCCCCTTTCACTACACGGAATATGGCTGATTTATTTTGTCATTTCAGGAACTAACTTTTCTACCAAGTTTCACCACCCAAAACTGTCCCCCTTTCTCCACACGGAATATGGCTGATTTATTTTGTAATTTCAGGAACTAACTTCTCTACCAAGTTTCACCACCCAAAACTGTACCCTTTCTCCACACGGAATATGACTGATTTATTTTGTTATTTCAGGAACTAACTTCTCTACCAAGTGTCACCACCCAAAACTGTACCCCTATCTCCACACGGAATATGACTGATTTATTTTGTCATTTCAGGAACTAACTTCTCTACCAAGTGTCACCACCCAAAACTGTCCCCCTTTCTCCACACGGAATATGGCTGATTTATTTGAGAGAGAGAGTGGAGAGTGTGAGACCCAGCGACCCTTGGTCTCTGCTCATGCTCAAATACATATTTGAGGGGAGGGACCCGTTATTTCAAATCATAAATTTTCGAGAAAATTCACATTAATTCTTCAAAATTTACTTTTACACCACTAACTAAAACAGAACAAGAAATGGGTTATGTATCACCGTCTTACAAATGCAATGTCATTTATACCCTGACACAACGATACGTCTGGAAATTAAAGACCGCGTTTCAATACAAAGTTACAAAGTAACTGAAACGCCAGAAAATATTGCTGAAACGTCATTTACATCAGCCTGGCGGAATTTAGATATGCTATAAAAAAATTAAAAAAACCCTTCCCTCTAACAGGGGTACGGTACTGAGGAATTAAGGACTAAGGTCCCGTTCAGACTAGGTTCGGGGCACCGTGCCCGGGACCTAAAATTGACGTTGTTCAGACACCCCAGTGCCCTGGACTGTAGTTAAAAATATTCTCACCTAGAATTTGATCCAAGCGGTCCCAATGTTGGTAGGCGACCTTTTCAACAGAGTCAAGGGCACTGACGAAAGCCTGTTCAGACAAGTGCCGTACCTGGGCACGGTGCCCAGATTTTTGTAGCCTGCGTAGCAGTCGTTTCCTTTCCGAGAGCGTGGGAGGCGCGCGAAGGCGCGAAGGCGAAAAGAGCGAAAAAACCCTCACCCCTCCCCCCTCCCACTTTTTCTTTTCGCTCTTTTCGCCTTCGCGCCCAGGCTACGATTTTCGATTGGGCACCAACAAAAAGCTATGTTCAGACTGGTGCCCATGCCCGAGAACCAGGCAAGGGCACCTAGTCTGAACGGGCCTAAAAACAATCACTAATCTAATTCTGTAACTGTTCACTGAGTCTTTATATTTCTAGACTGCAAAACAGTCTCTCTTTTTCTCGAGATATTGTGCGCGACGCGCGAATTGAGAGGCGCGAAGCGCCGATAATCCACGCGCGAGCCTCGTAAGAGGCGAGAAAAGAGAGACTGTCACCTTTTCATACAACAAATTCGTTCCGACCAGGGGGTCTGATGCTTCCGCTAAAGTGTCAAAATTCCTTAACAGCTCCGACTATACAGTGAATTCGATACCATAAACGTGACCTGAACGTGACACTTCACGTCACTTCACTTTTGTCTGCGTGTATTCATTTATAGAGTCATTGGCAATGTAGCGAAAAATTCGTTGTTGAAGCCATAACTGATCATGAGCTCTATTCGAGAAATCCTAAATGACCTTCTTCCTCAGATAAATATTGCCGATTATGTGACTGGTATTTTAAGATGCAATTTGGTAACGCCTTTCATCCGAAAATATATTTGTTAATCCGCATGACAAAACGGTCTCCGCTAGCCGTGGACGGAGGAACTCGTTTGTCCTCAAAATGTTGCTCTTCGTGTCCGTTGAAGGTGGGGAACTTTGCTATTATTCAAGCAAAATTTGGCGAGTCGAGAATCCTGGTGGAGCAAAACAACACGCTTTCCAGCTGTTCGAGTTAATCAGCTCATCGCTTTCGAACGGAATAATAACAATGATCGTGCGCGTTGCCTTTCCTAAATCTGTTGATTTTGTAATCTTGGTCGACATCGTGTCGCTTGACTGGACTAACGCCTTTTCCGAAATCCGAAGTACAGCGATCAAAAACTCCCTGCTTTTGTCTTGCAAGCGCATCTATCAAAGTCCGGACTGTCTTACCGCCCGCGAACTGATCAATGTTTGACGCTGTTTGTGGTTAGGCCTCCGGGGACGAGAATGATGTCCGATGACAGATTACGTCGAAAACGGACCAATCGGAATTTTGCGTTTCTCCAGCAACGCAGAATTCGGAACGGATTTCATGTATGGAAAGGCGACAGTCCGTATTTATAGCGTCTCTCCCCAATCCCACTCGTAATTTCACGCTCGTTCCAGATCCTTCGGCCGCGTTCAGCCTGACACTCTTGCGCGAAAATAAGGACTGTTTTGCAGTCTATTATATTTCTTTTAAAAGTAGTTCGACGAGCAAACAGCAATAGAACTTAAGACGAAATCCATTAGAAAATCGAGTAATATTTCTGGCCAGTGGACAAAAATCCTGTACTACGACGCCATAAGCTTTCACGCTTAAACTAGACATTCATGAGCCGTACCATAACGGTATCCACCAAATAATATAACTCCACAATCCTTAAATTGCTTTCCGCCTTGAGTTTCCTCCCGTGAATGGGTTTGAGTCATGAGAGGTGGCAGCCATGTTTAACAAAAACTCTGCTGCCACCTCTCATGACTCAGCCAATTCACGGGAGGAAACTCAAGGCGGAAAGCAATTTAAGGATTGTGGAGTTATATTATTTGGTGAATACCGTTATGGTACGGCTCATGAATGTCTAGTTTAAGCGTGAAAGCTTATGGCGTCGTAGTACAGGATTTTTGTCCACTGGCCAGAAATATTACTCGATTTTCTAATGGATTTCGTCTTAAAAGCTTTCTAAAGGGCGGGCCTGTTTAGGCTTTATGCCTCTTTTCGTGTCGTTGAAGAAGAGTTGTAGAGTTCTGAGTTGAAGAAGCGTTCAGCACGCGCGACACCGAATACTATTGCATGGTCTGATTTAATTAATTCTTGGTTTGCATCTGACGTCATCAAAATTCTAAAATCTAAACTGTTTTTGGACGGAACGTTTTCTTTCTGCCTGCTCTATAACTTGTTAATTTTCTGATATTGTTCATGCAAGCGAACAGTTTTGGTAACATTGATGCAAACCACCAATAGGTCAACAACAAGGTGATAACAGGTTGAGAAGTCTAATATACCTTATTCATAAATGGCGGTGGATTAATTATTCTTTTATATTCATGCTAATCAGCCCACCTAGCCTCGTTAGTATGTGCAAAATTCAAAAGAGGCTAGGGAGGCTGATTAGCATGAATATAAAAGAATAATTAATCCACCGCCATTTATGAATAAGGTCTATAGGTCTTTATTATAGGCTATGCCTTAAATGCATACCGCAAAATAAGATTAGCCTACTATAGCACTGATTAGCCCCGAGAAAAACACTGATTAGCCCCGAGAATAGCACCCCGGTTAGCCTACTATAGCACCCCGGTTAGCCTACTATAACTCTAAGAATGATTAGCTTTCTTTGTGGGTTGGGGTAACGTCTGATCTTATTTTGGTGTATCCATTCTAGTCACGACCCTTTATTATATGGCAAACTCCATGATGAAAAGGAGCATTCTGATTGGTTCCCTGAGTGGTCCGAATTTTGCAACACGGACCGCTAAGATGGACCGCGCACGAACTCATTTCGCCGAATTCCTTTTATGAAACATTGAACAAAATAAAACTGTTTTCTATTTAATTAGTAGAAGATATATTTTTCCTTCATGTCTGGCGGACAATTTTTCGGTGAAATTTTTACAAAATTGGTGCACGCCTTTTCCGAGAATGGATGCATTAATTTATGTTTTAAGGTTACTGCAAACCTTCGTGACCTGACCATGTAACGCAAAAGGTCTCGCAAGCGCACAGTTTTAGAGTAAAGTAGCCAAACCTATATATCAATTTAAAGCTTATAGAATGAAGAAACATGTAAGATAATAATTTTCCCACGAAAATAAAAATTGTAGCCGTTACGGCAATTTGACCACAATTTGACCGGTGTTCATAAACGTAAATTACTCGCGCTTCCATTTAGCTGTACGAAAAATCCAGTTCAGTATTGCATGATATTAAGCAGATGTTGACTGCCAAAAGTGTGTCGGGGAATTTCTTATTTCCCTCTAGTTTTGAAATTACAGGCCCAAACGTAATTCACAGTGGAAGAAAATCATTACATAAACTTTAAAATGATTTTATTTCTTTTTGAAAACAGATATCAAAATTCCCATGTTTCTTCATTGTATAAGCTTTAAATTGATATATAGGTTTGGGTACTTTACTTTAAAACTGTGCGCTTGCGAGGCCTTTTGCGCAACGTGGTCACGAAGGTTTACAGTAACCTTGGGGAATATTGGTCTCGTTCTTTTTATGTACGTTTATGTCCGGCTCGGTCCATAAACTTACAAAAAAAGAAATCGACCAATAGTTCCCCAATACGGACCGGCAATACGGGGAGCCAGCAGTGGTTAGGGCGTCGGACTTGTAATCCGGAGGTCCCGGGTTCAAGTCCTCCACCCGAGTTCAACTCCTTGGCTGCGCTCTGTAAATAGCCAACTGATCTGCCTCCTGTCAGTTGGGATTTTCAACCATGTTATGTTTATTTGAAATATTTGTTTCTATACACGGCCCCACAAGCTTCTAGCTTTAACACAAACCGTGTAGAAATAAAGTTGCTTTACTTTTTACCGAACAAGCTAGTTCAATAACATCTATATATTTTTCCAAACATGTAGACAGCTTCTCTATTTTCTTGCCCACCCGCCCCCAGCTCTTCATGCACCAACCCGCTTGGCAAGATCGCTCAGCTCGCGTTTCTTTTCACGTTTTTTTCCTTCTATAAAATAGAGAGGCTGTGAACAATCTACTATACTGTATAAGCTATACAGTTTACACCGCCCGAAAGGTATGGGGTTTTTTGTGTGAGGTTTTAGTTTGAAATACAGTCGAACCCTCGACCTCCCGCTAACTCGAAGTAAATTCGTTTTCCCTTCAGGCCATTTTCTTGCTAATTTTACCCTCGATAACTCCAACTCCCGATAAGTCGAACGTTTTACAATTTCCCTTGAAGGTTCGAGTTATCGGGAGACAACTGCAGGGCTAACGATTTTGCTTTATTGGTCTATATCGCTTATATTTTTTCTTAGTAAATAAGTCATAAGATGAAAAAGAAGTTCATGGGATTTCGTAGAGAAGCTGTTTGTTATCATTTTTCGTTCGCTGCCTGTTCTAGCGATAAAGCTCCATCAAATCCTTATACTATACTTTGCCACTGATGAGTCATATCATGAGCCTAGCGTCCGAATTTTTCAGCAAAGAGCTCAGCTGTCTTTTTGGCGGATTCTGCTAAAGACCCTTCGAAAATGTGTAATTTATTCCAAATTACATAATTCATTCCAAATTACACAATTCACTCCAAATTACATAATTTATTCCAAATTACATAACTTATTTCAATAACATAATTTATTCCTAATTACATAAATCATTCCAAATTACATAATTTATTACAAATTACATAATTTATTACAAATTACATATTTCATTCCAAATTACATCATTTATTCCAACTTACATAACTTATTCCAAATTACATAATTTATTCCAAATTGCATAATTTATTCCAAATTGAAGGCAGGTTTGACTGCAGCTTTACATAGAAGCGGTAAAAGACAGAGTTCAGTTCAGTTTTGATTGTCTGTACCTTTCTTGAGGAAACGAACTGACTCCAGGTAAACACGATACAATAGCAGTGGTTAGTCCTACATGAATTCTTGCATCAATAACCTTTCCGTATAGAGCTTGCCTTTTCCAAGAAGAAATGCTATAAACTACAGTTTGAAGACAAGACAAACATGGGGCTGATCTCCAACCGTTCGTGGTAGTCCGAAAATTATGCGATGGAAGGAAACCAAACACAACACCATCCGGGTTGTTTCGATGAGTTATACAATGAATCTCAGTTGTGCTGTTAGATCAGCCTCGACCTTTTTGTCACAATTCAGTGCATGTCACCGATTCTGACCAATCACGTCCTTTGTCTGTGTGAGGTCTGGAACGAAGAGCTTGTGACAATCCACCCAGGCTTCTTCGCAATCCGGTCTCACAAGGAAGAGGAGGTATGGTAACAGCTGTTTAACCTTTCTTGCCTTTACCATGTCCCTGAAAGAGAAAAAAGACCTACTTTTTGAAACGTTTTCCCTTCTGCGATAAATAGGTGGCAACTTAAAGAGCAAAGAAATTATCACCCGACCTGGAGTACAGAGTTCAGATACGTCACTAAGACCCATTGTCCTCCGCTCTGACGTCTATATAGGCCCGATTAAACGGTCGCAACACTTGTCTTAACATTCTCTCAACATTTGTTGAGAGCCGAAGTTGCCGGCGGCCGTTTGACACCCGCTTTGTCTCAACATCTTCTCAACATTTCGTTTGTTCTCGAAATGTTGAAGCCGTTTGACACGGCATGGTCTCAACATCTATCAACACGACTCCACAAATGTTGAGAGAATGTTGAGACCGTTTGATTGGGTGGGCCTTATGGCTTTGGGGATGAAGTCTGTTAACGGTTTACTTGTGCCGGAAATGACAACTTCTGTAAGGTTTGTTCGTTATATCTCAAGGTTCGCAGAGCGTACGGACAAGTTGCCTGCCCATCAGTTCTGTTGCTGAGGACAAAGCCTTTCCATCGTGTTTAAAATATAGCTTCTGAAACGTTGCGTATGAATGCAGCTTTTATCATAAGACAAGGAAATGCATACCTTACTTCCCTTCTGATGATGTTTCTGATATTTAAAACTCTTCAAGGGGTCCATCTTACGCTTCTAAGAGAAAAACATAAGAAAGATCAAATGTGACCTTGCAACAAAAATACAAGTACACAAATAATAATATGATGGTACAGTATATTGTCATTCACTGACTGAATATTATCTTTCTCATATTTTCTACCAAGCTTAAAATATACCATCATTTCTTTCCACATATTCATCAGTTGTTAAATCTGTGCTTCACTTCAAATCATAGTAAAAGCGCTATTTGAAAGATGGACTGCATAACACTGAGTATCAATATTTTGTCAAGTAGACAATAACAAGAGGAAAGGAAACAAGGATGTCGTCAGAATTTAGAGGTGCGGAGTTGACTGTAGATGAAGTTACACGAAGATGTCAAGCAACCATTTTATGTTAGACTACGAGCAGTCCCTAATTTTCTCAGGGATAGTCGAGTGGGAGAGCACGCGAGCGAGCGCGAAAATCACCTCCTATGCGTCGCGTCTCCTCTGGGAGGGGATTTTCACATGCGCTTGCGTGCTCTCCCACTCCACTATCCCTGAGAAAAACGAGGGACGGCTCGTAGTCTAATTTTATGTGTAATACAAGAATGAAGATGTTGCCTCTACGTTCATTTTTACTGGCTTCATTGCTGTTTCCCCAAATTTCCCAAGAAAGCAATTAATCTGAAGTTAGTTTAAGTTACAGTTCTTTTGAGAGAGAGTGATATTTGCACATACATGTATGAGAAACACAAAGTAAACTAAGACTCAAAACTGACCTTGCCGCCGCCGTGTGTACTGTGAGCGTTCTTTTGTGATGACATGTGAGGGCGTCTTCTCTTCCGTGAAGATTTCGCCATGGAAGGTCGAAGAGTCACAGGAACTGAAATAAACAACACAGTGCTAATTTAAAAAAAAATTCAAAACCAATTCAAAAACACCTTGTGATGACTTCTAGTTTACATTATTTTCTGGTTTATGAATTTTGGAACATAAGGATAAGGATAAGAACTGAAGGCATGTTAAATTTGCAATATTTGTTTGTTCATTTACAGTGTCCACAATCAGCACAGCAGCGCTAAATACAATATATTTTTATCATTTCTTTATACTTTAAAACAACTTACCGAGGTATTCGGGGACGTTTTTCAAATGAGGTTGGATTCTTGCGGGATGAAGATCTTTATCGTGTCTGAGAACTTGCAGGTCTCTAGGATTATCTTCAAAATATGCCTGGAAAAAGATTTAACCAAAACATCTTGCATCAACATTTGAATGTACACCCGTCCATCTTACACACATAAAAAAACATTGTGAAGGGAAGCTTATCTCATACTTGCAACTACCTACGGGGGACATTCTTGCTGCCACCTCTAAAAACGTTGTACCTTCACGAAACGTTCATTCCTACTCTGAACATGTCACAAAACTAAAGCTTTCTAATGCTAAGCCGTTGGTTCCAGGCCTCCCAATTCCTGACTAAGTCTAAAGTATTCAAATAGAGGCAAGGAAAAAAAAAGACTTTCAGGTAAAACGTGACTACAGAATGCACTATTCTCATTGTTCTTCGAGTATACAGCAGTCTTCGATTGTCTGCCAAAATAATATATGTTTACTTTCATTATGCATTTGCTGAGCTATCTGATTGGTTCAAAATGCTCGTGCAATCTGGTCTCTGATCTAACCAATAAGAAATGAATGGAACTTTTCCCGCGCTTTCCACCGGTTGCAAGGTTTTATTGAGATCTCTGATTGGTTCATTGCGGTATTTGGCGCGTTGTGATTGGCCAGATGTGATTACTTTGATTTTGGTTTTATGACGATCATAAGAAAACTGCTCTATGAGTAAACGCCCACATACGATCATTTCCATTTCTATAGAAGACACAATGGCTGCCAACAAACAAACAAACAAACAATCATGCACTCACCTTTAATTTTTCAGAATTTAATATTTCTGACTTGATTTCTTTGAGTCGTGCTTCTTTTACTGAAAGAGACAAAAACAGAAAGACAATAAGTACAAATCTTCATAACCGACAATACAGAGTCTTTGAACTAAGTTGAAGATTTATTGCAACTGTCTATAATAATGTCTTCTAATTGTTTTAGTAAAAATCATAACAATTGTCTAGTAATAACTCTAAATCCTCCTCCGAAACTTCGGAGAAACCACAATTTTGTAGACGACCTCCAGCCACTGCACACTACTATAACAATAGAGTGTTTCTGTCGAGGAACTATCGGCTGATAGTTGCCCGCGGAAATTTTATGTTCTAAAAAACAAATATTAGCCCGAGAACGAAGTTCGAGGGCTTATATGCTAGTTTTTTGGAACATAAAATTTCCAAGGGCAACTATCAGACCAATAGTTCCGAGACAAAAACACTTTATTGTCGTTATTGTTCACCACTAAATTTTCCGTGCGGCGGCCTAAAACTGAAAACGACATGAATTTATTTATTTCAATTTCTAACACACTGCGACGCTTGGAGCTTCAAAAATAGTTTTGCATTTCAACTTTTGTCTCGTAAATACGTACAAAACTTTAGGTTAAACTTCATAAATCGACTGAGTGATTTTTCAGTTCCATCTAAATGAAGCATCATTTGTATGAAAAACGGCGGCAAAACCTGGCGCGGGTTCGCCAAGTTGAATGAAAAGAAAGCAGGACAAAAAGTCTCCTTCGGATTATTTCTTCGCTCAATCTCTTCTAAAGTTTCATAATTATATTCTGGAAAATTGTGCAAATGA